ATAGTGGACCAGTGGAGAAGCAGAGAAGAGGGCAGAGTCAGTAGCTCTTGGAATAGAGCTGACGTGTTTCGGTGATGGCTTAAAGATCAGTGATAAGTCAAGGGCGATAGCTAGGATTTTAGCCTCGTATATCTGGTGAGACACAGTGTTTACCAGGACGGGACTGCCCAGCAGAGCCACACATATGCGCAGTGTTTGCGATTGCCCCCCACCTCAGGTGGTCAGGTGATGTCCAGTGTGTAGCCAGGAAGGCTGAGCAGGACAGGCCAGCAGCAGGAGACAGTGGTCAGGTATCAGCATGGTAGAGGTGGACCTGTTTGTCCAGGAGGAGCCCAGAGACAGCACAGCGGCTGCTGGGGAGAAGTCGGCTGAGCTCAGAGCCCTGCTCTTCCTCTTCACGTGTAGCTCTCTGACATTGAGTGAGGCAGCACACCTTTTCTTATGTTTATGGAACAATTTTTAATTTTCAATTTTGCGCATGTGACTTTGTGTCCCTTGCCAGCAACATAAAGACCCATATGTTATGGTTTGTGTCTAGTTGTCCCTCCAAAGCCTCATGCAGTCATGGGGTGAGGACTTCTAGAGTTTGTGTTAACTCATGATCCACTGGGATTATGTGTGATCCAAGGCTGGGATTATGGGTCTTAGTACTGCTAGGATTACCCATAGGTGGGTAAGTACTGGGAAGTACCCATAGGTGTGAGTACTTCCCCTACCCTGGGGCAGGTAATTTGCATTACAATGTAAGGTGGGAAGAGAAGCTAGCTGCTTGAGCTGCTGCTACCCCTTCCCTTGCACTCTTGCTCTTTGCCGCCACCATGAAAGGTTGCCCTCTGCTATGTGCTGCTCTGCCTTGGACCCAGCTGAGTATGGACTGAAACCTCCAGTAACTGTGAGCTAAATAAACCTTTCCTTCCTTCATTTTGAGTGTTGGGTATTTGTCCCAGCAATGAGAGAACAGTAACTAAGACACCATATGTGTTGATCAATCCTGTATTAGCACTGTTGAGGCAAATGAGGTGTCAGAGTAACAGTGAGAATGCTTGATGCATCTGTTTTTGTCCCTCCGGTACAGGATTATGGTGTTGTCAAGATACCCAATTGTGAAATCAGAGCATCACCTTCTTCCATCGCCAGAGGGCGAGATCGCACCAGCCATAACCCTGACTGTTAACATCTCGGACACCCTGGTGGATTTTGTTGTGACTCACTTCGGGAATCATGAGTGGGTTTCTTTGGTATACTTAATATTATACATGTGTCAAGAAATATTATTCACCTATTCTTTGGTTTTTATGAAGTAACTCATTTTACATTTATTTTTTTTTATATCTGGAATTATTTTTCCTTGTGCTGCTGGTGGTAACAGTCAGACCTAGGAGCATTTGAGATGCAACAGTCCTAACGTAAGTGTTAGTCCACAGGGCCTGAATGTCGGCGGTTCTCTCTGTGGGTGCATTTCTACGTGCCTCCTTGTATCCCATGTTAACCCTGCGGGAGGCAAGTAACATCCCAGCCCCTTTTAGAAACTGATGCACACACTAGGCTTCGAGGCTGAGGTTGGATGCTGTGTCCAGCCAGAGTCACACAATAGGAAGAAGACAGACAAAACTCAGAGCCCCCGTGTGCTTGGAGCTTCATGGTAAAACAGACTATAGAAAAATAAATTCCTTTTTCCTGTGGGACTGTTAGCATAAAGAGTTGCACTCTGGGCTTGGGGGTACTGAATAACATTCCTTTCCCCCTCACATTTTCACAAATGTCTGATAGGCAGGCAGAAGAACCTGGCAGAGGGAAGCCAAAATGGCACTTTTGATACATAAATTGTCTGATAGGATGTTCTACCGCAAGAATGTTAGGCCAGCCCCCAACACCACCCGAAGAGGGCTCTCCCCAACACTTGTCCCACCCAGAAGCGAGGGGCAGAGCCTGCCTGTCAAGCACTTCCTTTGATAGAAATAGACAGAAAAAAATATATGCAGATTCCAAGGACAAGAGCGAGCAGGGGCTGAGATGATCATGTCTACTTAATTCTTCCGAGCTAAATTAATTGGAAAAGTCATTCCCAATAGTAAAGGATGCAGAGCAAAGGCCAGCAGTGGGTTCTAAACTAGTCCTTTCACAAGGAAACATGAAAAATGAAGAAAGAATTTTGTCCCCAGTGACTAACAACCAATCACAAGAAGTGACTCAGGACTACAAACTCATTGGCCAGGGCCAAGCATAATAATAATATATCATGAAGGCAAAAATAACAGTATTCAGTTTGTTGTGTATTATGCTGAAGTATAATTATTTAAAAGCCAGATGTGAAGTTCTGTATGCTGTAACATAAGCATACAGTCCCTGGGCACAGTTAAGATACAAGAAGCCACAGAACTTTAAAGGGATATACAGAACATTAGAGAAGCAACTTTTTTTTTTTTTAATTTTTAAAAAAATTTTTTTAGGGGAGGGTCTACAGGGTGTTCAGGGTCTCACTACTAGATTGGACTCATAGTGATCCTTCTGTTTACAGCCTCCCAAGAGCTGGGATTACAGATGTGTGCCATCACGCCAAGACTCAATTGCAGTCTTAGCATGCCCTGGGGATGGGGCTGGCACATCAGGCCTGGGGATCAAACCGCTGACCCCTGTGCCTGCTTGCAGGTGCTTTAATCCCCTGAGCTATTTGGCCAGCCCGAGAAGCAACATTGTCATGCTGCCAGTTTCATCCAAACAAAACCAGTGTGCCTGCTACCTTTATTGTGTTGGTTATATCAGGACAGTTTTATTCATACTGATATATGGATCTATGAAAGCATATTTGAATATTTTCTGAAATAAGTCAGAATATTGGAAACATAAACTACCCAAATATGATTAATGCCAACCATATACTATCAGACTTTCGCTTGTCTCCTTAGGAACAAGAGGAGTGTTTGGAAGGCGAGTGCTGTGCATCTCTCTCTCTTTAGAAAGCTGTCTGAGATTTGCCCTGTTTCTCCCAGTAGTTTTCACGAGGCAGGCCCAGGCACCAAAGGTCATTTCACTGACCTCATGTTTGGGTTGGGTTTTATCTCCATGAGGGTTGTTGTGCGCTTAGAGATTGTGAGGCTGCGAAACAGCCGACTAAAATCTCCACTTTTTGTTTCTCTCCTGCACTTCATCTCTTTTAGTTCTCCCCAGCTTCTCCCAAAATGTACAGAATAGACTTGAGAAGGAAGCGAAAACTCAGAAACGGGCCTGAGGATGTGCTTGGAAAGGAGGAGAGAGGGCCAGCCAGATAGCTCAGCAGAGGAAAGCGCCTGCCTAGGCAGACACAGGGACTGGGGTTAGATCCCTGGCCTGCTGTGCTGGCCCTGCCCCCAGCGTGCTGAGATGACAATTGAGACTGGGCGTGGTGGTGCGCGCCTGTAATCCCAGAGTTTGGGAGGCTGAAAACAGGAGGATCACTACAAATTTGATCTGTGTAGTGAGACCCTGTAGACCCTGTACTAAATTAAAAAAAAAAAAAAAAAGAGGGGGAAGGATCATCTTTTCTGACTTACTACTAACCACTTGCTCATAGTTCTCTTATTATACTATTCCTTTACTTGTCGTGTGCACGAGATTTAAAAATAAAAACGGGGCTGAGGAAATGGCTCAGTGGAATAAGTGATTCCCTGGCAAGCGCAAAGGCCTGAGTTCAATTCCCGGTTCCACAAAAAAATACATAAATAAATAAATAAAAATAAAAATAAAAACGAAGCAGTGGTATAATAATAGCTGTGACATTGTAAGGAGCTATGACTCTAGGAGAGAAGCAATGTAGTTTTAATGCTTACCAGAGTGGGGCCCCAGTGCTTTTCTACGGTCTGAATTCTAATTCAGTCACTGTGTGTCCTTCGTGGAGATATCTAAATATGTGAGGCATACCTCGCTCTCATGTAACTCAGAATGATGCTGCTGCCTATGTCACAGGTTTCCTGTGAGAAGTACATGGCATGCATCGTCTCATGCAAAGCACATGAATATACTATGTGCTCCATTAATGCTGGCTACTTGTAAAATAAGTTAGGCAACTCTTAATGGAAGCTATATTGGGTAGCTTAAAGCAGAGTTTGTTCATCAAATGAGTTAAGCTTCATCTTGTCCCAAGCAGAGGGCTAGGCAGTCTTGGTCCTTCTGAGCCGCCACTGTTGTGGCCTCGTGTATGGTCACTAACTTCCCAGTAAGTGACAGATGCTAATTAACACTGAAATGAGGGCTGGAGAGATGGCTCAGTGGTCTAAAGCACCTACTTGAAACAAGCTTGGCAAAGCACAGGGACCGTGGTTCGATCCCCTAGCACCACATGCCAGCCAGCCCCCGCCCCCTGGTGGGCTGAGCTGGCCACACACACACACAATAAATAAATGTAATAAATAAAAATAAATAAATAATTTAAAAAAAAACAAAACACTGAAATGATGTATTTTTAATTTTTTTTTTTAATTTGAACTCATGGAGAAATTTACTCTTTATTTTGAGGAGAATAGAAAAGTAATAGCTAAGACATTAGAAACAATACACAATTTAAAAATCAAGATGAAGGGCCAGGGAGATGGCTCAGTAGAATAAGAACTTGCCTGGCAAGCGTAAAGTCCTGAGTTAAATTCCTGGTACCTAAAAAAAAAAAAAAAAAAAAAAAAAAAAAAATCAAGATGATAGTTATTCAACAGTGGTGGTTATATTGCATATGGCTGTCTTCAGTTGCTCAAATTACCAGATATAAGCTTGTAAAGTTGATCAAGATAAAAAGTTTAAGTATTAACTTCTACCTTTAAAAAACTGACAGAAATTAGTAGTACCTTTAGCTATTCCCTTTTCTTTTTCACCACTTTTTTCCTTCTTTCCCTCATCCCAATTGTTCATTCCTTTTGAACAGTTACTTTCCCCTTTACTATGTCTATTGTACCTTTCATATTTTATTTACTCTTTCAGGTTCTTACACTAGGGAGACAATACGATGTTTACACATGTGAGTCTGATTTATTTCAAAAAATATGGACCAATTCACAAATCTATGGGTCATCCTTGCACAGTGGCCATGCTATTCTTCTCTGCATTGTTCCAATTTTAGTATATGTGCTGCTGAAGCAAGCACTGGGATGATTTATGACATCATCCTTATGTACTTGTTCTTGCCTTTGTTTCCTATAAAACAAAACAGATACAAATGTTCTTACAGTGAATAAATATTTAAAGATTTCATTTTCTAGATGGTTACAAACCAATGTGAAAATTCTTTAGGACTACATTACAGGATGCCTTGCATGCTGTTGGCAAGTGCTTTACCTACTGACTATAGGATTTCTCTTTTACAGTCAATAAACAGGAAGTAGTGGCTTTTCTTAAAAATCACTTAGGGAAACACCATGAAGAAAATTTACATTGTTTTTGACAATCAACTGAGCCACCAGTTAATCACCACTGTTTGTTTTACTTTCCGAAATCTATAATGTGCATCGTGTAAGAGAGTTTTTAAAAAGCACAGAACCTATAGTCTGGAGACTTGTACGCTAGACTTAAAGGATAATGTGGTAAGTTATAGTTTGCTGTCTTCTAAAAAAAATAGGATTTTTTTTTTCAGCTCACATGTTGAGGTCATTGGACTGATCAAATATTAACAGATAAGAAAACATAAAACATGTTGTTTTGTCCTTTCTTGCTTTCCTCATACAGGTGCATATACTTTTAAATTTTATTATTCCCATTGCATAAAATCCATTGCCTGATAAACTGTAAAGCCAAAGTCACAGACTTTTCTCCCAGTCATGTATTGCTAGAACATATTTGAATGTGAACTCTGCGCAGAGGCTTTGAATTTCCTAGACCTGGCTTGGTGTTGTACTTACATGTGTTAGAAGGAACAGTGCTCACTGTAGACCTGAAGAAGGAAGTACTCACCAAGATGTTCGAAGGGTCCAGGGAACACGGAGGGTTGCCAAGGCCCTCTGATGCCTGGGGAAGCATTACAGCCTTAGGGCCAAGGGACAGGCAGTGGAAAATGTTCTGAGAGCCCTGAGGTCTGGACCAAGGAAGAGGGCCACTGCCAAAGAGACTGGGGAAGAAACACTGGACTTCACTCCCTTTCTGCGTTCTCATCTGCTGCTGCCTCCAGTGGGCCAAGCCTAACAGCAAGTCAGCAGACAAGGCGTGCAGGAGGTGGAGTGGCAGGGGTCAGCCTCCTGCACAGAGAAGGGCATGGCATGGATCTGAATAGCGAAGTTGAAGCACAGCGACTGCATATTACTTAACTTCATTTAAAAATAGAGCAACACCTGCCTTCAGAAATTACGAGTATTCACTATCAAATATGTTTAACAAACAGCTGTTCTTGTCATTTTTCTATTTCCTGAGACATCTTCTACAAGCACTCAGCTGTCTCTATGTATTTGTCTGACTTGGTTCTGTTTTCCCAACCTACCTCAGCAGAGTTTCTCCGGTCTTCTCAGTCCTCAGTCATCTCCCTGTACCTTCCTTTGTCTTATTTTTCTTGACATCCATTCATTAGCTATCTTTCTAAGTAATGTCTATGTGAGTCCGCTGCCCTGTGAGCAACATTTCCCTGTGAGTCTCTTGCTTCTTGGCTTCTGGGTTTAGTCAGGAGGAAACACTAATGGAAGACTGGAGAATAGGAAGAGGAGAGAAGCTAGGGTGTTTCTCTCTGCCTTGCCTGTCTCTGACTCTGTCTCTGGCTCCTCTCTCCTTTCTCTAATATCTTTGATAACAGTGGAGTCTCTTTGTCTCTAGCACCTGTCTGGATGATCTCAGCTCCTTCTGGGTAGCAAGCTCCATCTTGCACCAGCCCTTGCTGGCTTCTGGCCTCTGTAATATCACTTCCTCTTGCTGTAGATGTTGCACTAGTTTCTCATTGCTGCTAAACTCTGGTTGCTTCACTGACCCTTCTTTGGCATCCCGCCATCTAGATAAACAATTCCCTATATTAAATTCACTTTGAAATACCTAGAATATTTCTGTTTTCCTGGATTGAACTTGTAAAGTAGGATGTTCTATTTTTTTCTCCCAAACTGACAGTAAATGCCTCAAAAGCTGGATGTAGCTGGCTAATTATGTGTTTTGTGTCTGCAGTGATTAGCATGATAGAGGAAACATGACCAGCTAGTATTTATGCAGGATTGCTGCAACAGTTTTCAAAAAGTGTCATGAAGAGTTGTATAGGTTACATAAGCCTGGTGTTCTCTGTGAATGTTAGGATTCTCTTCTTACCTATCTTTTTGCCTCTTTTTCTTTTCTTTGAGTATTAGTTCTTCAACTGTAATGCTGATGAAAGGTCTCATGTTATGTAATTTCTTCTGATCAAAAGTTCAACAAATGTTGTATTTATGATATTTAAATCAACTTGATTCCAAATGGCTTACAGAGTAAAATCACGTTGTTCTTAGTCAACAATTTGTTGGCCTACCCAATCAAAGCATTGTATCTATATATTCTTTATTTACATACTATTAAGACATTTGCCAAAATAGGTATTGCTCTGGGTTTCTACTGTTTGAAAATGTTCTTTGAGAATCTGGTTACATAAAGCTTTTTTAAAAATTGTTTTACATGAGCAATAAAGAGGTATATCATGCCATTTCTTTCAGAGATGATCTTGACAGAAAACTGCAAGCTATTGCCGTTTCTAAACTATTGAAAAATTCCTCTAATCAAGTGATATTTCTGGGCTACATCACTTCAGCACCTGGTTCCAGAGATTATCGACAGCTCATTGAACATGGAAATGTAAAGGTAATTCAATTGCAACAGGATTTCTGATATATCAAGTAAAATACTTCTTTATCATCCACAGTTTTAAGCAATCCAGTGTAACAATTTAATAGGTATTCTGAGTATCTACTGTTACAGAAAATCACCAGGAAGCACACTGACGCTGTTAGCTCACAGACCTGTACTGTAGACAAGGATGGGGGCAGCTCATCTCTGCTTCATGCAGGTCTTCAAGGTGCAAAGCTGGACATTAGAGGATCTCCCGGGTAGGCAGTTTGTGAATGGGAGGCTGGTGCTTTAGGCTTGGGACCCAGGTTCCTGTGTACATGTGATTTGATTTTCTTCTCTTCATGGTGAGTTTTGAGAATGAGTATAGAAGAAAACCAGGAAGGACCTAAATTGCTTTGAATGACTTAGCCATTTTAGACTCACAGTATCACTTGTACTCATGTCACAAGTGTGAGAAATAGCAAAGTCACATTATAAGAATACCATAAAGTGAACTATTAATGTAACCATGGTTTAGAATATACAATCTGCCACATTGTGAAAGTTAAATATTTTTTTTTGAAAATCATTAACATCATCACTTTTATTTGCATAGGTAATCATTAATTTTTTAATTTTAATTTTCTTTTTTGAGGCAATCTCACTATACTGTCCAAACTTAATTCCTCTTGCTCCAGCCCCAAGATCACAGATCTGTAACCACTGCACCTAGCAGTAGTATTCCTTTTTTTTTTTTTTTTTTTTGCGGAACCAGGGATTGAACTCAGGCCCTTGTGCTTGCCAGGGAAGTGCTTATTCTACTGAACTATCTCCCCAGCCCCATATTCCTTCTTTAATGTATCAAAACTTAAACCAAACAATGAGTTCTGGGTTGCAAAAGAGGATTTATTTTTTGCACCTGTTCATTTAAATTTTAATCCACAAAAGGTAAGATAAAAACACATGTAAGTGCTATTGGAAGTTAAATATGTTGTAGAGAAAATGAAATACCGGTTCTCGCTAGGTGACCCCAAGTTAGTCTTATCATTTCAGGTTTCAGACATTTGAATTTATCAGTGTACCCTAATATCAAGTTCTGGAAATGTCATACAATCAAATCCTCCAGAGACACTAAAATGACAAATGCATTCACTTATAATGTGAAACATAATGGTTGTAATTAAGCCTTATGTGTATTTCTTGGTTCTTTTTATTTTGTTTTTAACTTTATGTCTGCAGAGGAAAGGATTTATGCATTTATGTTGATTTGGCTACTTTAACTTTTTTTTTTTTTTTTTGTGATACGAGGGATTGAACTCTGGACCTTGTGCTTGCCAGGCAAGCACTTATTCCATTGAGCTATCTCCCTGGCCTCTGGCTACTTTAACTCTGTTATAGTGGAACACTGGAAAGACAGGTGGCAGAGAGCATGACACAATGAAGGTTTTCAGTATGTGACAGAGAACACAAAAAACAGTGGTTCAAATATGAGAGAAATGTGTTTCTTTGTGTAAATATCTGAGCAGGTGACTCAGCACCAGTAAGGGCACTCCATGGTGCCTGGAATCTGTCGTCCTTTACTGTGGCTCCATTCCTGTGGCCTCTACTCTTGTAGTCCAGTCATGCAGGCATGTAGAACAAGCATCCGTGTTCTAGTCAGATCTAGAAAACTGACTCCTGACACTTATCCTTACATTACCTTGGTGGCAATGCAGTCACATAGCCAAGCTTTGGGGCACAGAAACTTAGGAGGTACAGTCTTCAATCTTGATGGCCATATACCCAGCTAAAGAAGCTATAGTTTTGTTTTTTTTTTGTTGTTGTTTTGTTTTGTTTTGTTTTGTTTTGTTTTGTACTTTTTAGGGAAGGGTTAACAGGGTGTTCAGGGTCTCATTACTAGATCGGACTCATAGGGATCCGCCTGTTTACAGCCTCCTAAGAGCTGGGATTACAGGCATACACCACCAAGCCCATACTCAGTTGCCATCTCAACGTGCCCCGGAGGTGGGGCCAGCACAGTAGGCCTGGGGATCGAATCCCCAGCTCCTGTGCCTGCTTGCAGGTGCTTTAATCCACTGAGCTATTTGGCTGGCCCAAGATGCTATAACTTTGCAAGAATGGTAGATACTGGGCACATGAGTTAGGCGGAAGTAGTTATGATGGACTCACCATTTTTGGCTTTGGTCAAAATGTTTATGATGATGACATTTATAATAATAAATTATTTTTATTAATAATAATTTATTATTATTTTTATTATTATTATTGGTACCAGGAATCAAACCCAGAACCTTGCATTGGCCAGGCAGGCACTTATGTTGCTGAGCTGTCTCCCTGGCTCTTATTATTGAGGATACATAAGAAAGAACAATTTTGCAAAGAAAT